GATCATTTCAGTATTATCATATTTTTTTCATTTCATTCGCACGAAAACGTTTACCAGTTCGATTTTCAAAATGATACAATTCTCATTACACAAAGACATTTGTTTACTATATATGTATGTATAAAATATTTTTGATTCTAGCTGATAGTTGTCTTGGCCATACACTAGCCATTACTTGATCACCAGTACAAAAACAACCATCAGGTGACATTAAATATTCATTTGAACAAACCTATGACATAAAGTATTGTCCCATGTTTTACTGATCGATATAATCTTAGGTTTATTTTGACTTATTCTAAACTAAAAAAAATTAAATAAGTTATTTTTTAATTCTATAATGATTTGAATGTACTTTTATGTCCAATAATAGCTATTTGTGAACAACTAATTAAGCCCCCGCCCTCAAAAAAAGTCCATTTTCGTCCGGATGACCAAAATTGAGATAAAGGCATGGGGAGATAGCCCGTAGTCTGCTCTTTCTAAAATGCCGAAAATTTTTCCTTGGTACTTCTTTTTTTCCTAAAAATTGTCAAGATTTCTGGAAACCCCTTTTCAAAAAGCCAGCTGTTTTTTGAAAATTCCAAAAATGTTTTTCGCTTTTTCTCAATTGTTATTTTCGGAAAAGCGCATCCAAAACTGCTCTGTTATGGCTCGTCCAATATCATAAATTTTTTTTTGTTTGAAAGAGCGCATCAAGACGCAGGGCATGACGTTGTCCTTTTTTTAAAAAAGTACCTTTTTAGGTCCATAAACTGTCGCTTATAATTTTTTTTGCAATTTTTTGACTATTTTTGGAGTACTTTAACTTGTGATAACTTTTTTAAACTTAAAAATGGACTTTTAAAAAAAGGACAATGTCATGCCCTGCGGGTGTGGGTGGGTGTGGGGTGTGGGTGGGTGTGAGTGTGGGGTGTGGTGGGTGTGGGTGTAGGTGTGGTTGAAAACGACACCCACACCCACCCCACACCCACACCCACACCCCACACGCGCCCACACCCCCATCCCACACCTCATACCCACACCCAAAAATGAGAAGAGGTGTTTCTTGGAGATGAAGCATAAATACTTAGGTGTATCCAAAAGTAATGTCGCGTCTATCTTGTTTCCTTATAAAAGGGTCAAAAAAAAAATTCTTTTTTTATAGAATGATAGAGCAAATGAAGCTCTATTTTTCTATACTATTTCATCACTATACAACTAGTATTATACTAATAAGATTTCGATAAGAACTGTTTTTTGTAAAACTTAACTAATAGATGAGGCAGATTAACCCTTAAAAGCCGGAAGGCCTTATCGTCGCAATGTGAACAAATTATTCGGTAAAACAGAAGGTGTAGTATCTCAATAAGAATCATTGATGATAAAAACAAAAAAAAAAATTTTTCCTACGGAGATATAAAATGTCCCTTGGAAGGGACATTCGGTCGTAACGGTCCAAAATTGTTCACTGTTATCAATTTATGTAAAAGCAATTTTTTTTTAAATACCTCTATTTATATGTTTCTTATTACTCAAGAAACTAATTCAAGCAATATTTTACAATTTTTCAAAATTTACACACTATCGGTTTCAATGTCAGCCTCGCTCATGGGGTTATCCAAGTATGGCGTAGCCAATATGAGTGAAGAAAACAACGATCATTTTACGCTTGTACTTGTAGTTTTACTGCATCAAGAAAGCAGTTGTCGAATGCTTTATTACAGCAGAATCAGAACTATCGTAAGTGGTTTAAAAGCAACCAAGGTCGGCCTTTTCACCGAGAACAGCCAAAGTCATATGAAAATCATGGACAGTTTCGATAGTCAGATGAGATTGTAGCCTTCTCTTGATTCCTTCTGTACAACAGTATTTAGTAGAATCAAAAATAAACAAAAAGTCGCTCGCCTAGTATTCATACATTGTTAAAACTTTTCGGCCCGTTAAGACCGAATGTCCCTTCCAAGGGACATTTTCTTCATACTATCACTATGTATCAACAGGTAACTTAAAAATTTAGGAAACAGTTTCATTCGGTAGCTTGCCTTTGTGCCTGTCAGAAAAGCCAAAATTCACGCTAATTCACGCTATATTTACGAAAAGGCATATATTGCAAAATACAAAATTGCATTTAAAAAATTCATGCATTTTCCAAAACCTGCTGCGTCCTCTGACAGTCAATTTTAAGAAATTTCCTTTTCACTCTATACTCTATTAGGTCATCAAAGTCCAAAAAAATATTGGTCCATGCCTCAACGATTTTTTTACGTCTCGTATATCGTTTTTTCAAATGTCCCTTGGAAGGGACATTCGGCTCTTAAGGGCTAATACGCTTTGCATTTCAATTTTCAATCACTCAATACATTGTATTAAAAAATAAAATATACCACAAGATGCAGCGTGAAAAGCTCTACAGTTTATAAAGAACAGTTTATTTTATATATGAAATAAGAAAAACGGAATTTCTCTTCGCATGATTTTTTCGGGGCAGTGAAAATTGGTCGCACAGAATTTTGATTTCTTTGACAAGAAATACATAATTAAAATAAGCTTTGTTTTGTAGATTGCAGAGCTTTTCACGCTGTATATTGTGATGTATTTTGTTTTTTTTTAAATAAAAGATATCAGGTGACAAAAAGATGAAATAAGAAAAAATGAATTCATCTTCTACCAAAAAATATCGTTTTCGTACGATCGAAAATTGATTGCTCAACATTTTGTTCATTTTGAAAACAACAAATGCAACTATAAAATAAACGGTCTTATGTAAATTGTAGAGTTTTTCACGCTGCATCTTGTGGTATACTTTGTTTTTTAATACAGTGTATTAAGTGATTGAAACATTGAATCTGCCTCAGCCGTTAGTTAAGTTTCACACAAAAACAGTTCTTATCGAAATTTTATTAGTATAATACTAGTTGGATAGTGATGAAATAGTGTAGAAAAATAGAGCTTCATTTGCTCTATCATTCTATAAAAAAAGAATTTTTTTTTTGACCCTTTTCTAAGGAAACAAGATAGACGCGACATTACTTTTGGATACATCTAAGTATTTGAGATACGACTTGATGTAAAAAACTTGAATTTTGGTTGAAATTTAGCGAAAATAATTGTAAAGTTCAAAAAACAAATTTCTATAATTTCAAAAATTTGTAATCAAAGACCAGAATATATCGCGAGATGAAACGTTAACAAGTCAAGATTTTGAACAGAAATAATGCACAAAAAAAACTTTCATTTTTGAAAAACTCAATTGTATAAGGACTCCGATTTGTTTTTTTCAAAACTCGCAACCGAAAACAAGCTTACAAATGCTAGAAGATATATTTGTAATAATAATTTATCTGATTAGTAACATGTTTATTTTCGTGTCGAATCTCTCTAGTTAATATTTCCATTTTCGAATTAAATCAATTTTACGAATGAGTCAACAAACAAGTATTCCAAGTATTAATAAAGTGAAGAATAATATCAATCAATTAGTTCGTATAGTTTTAACTGATATAAATAATGCAAGAAGTGATCAGTATGTATCATCCAATCAAGAAATTTCTTTTTCAATAATAATGAGTCCAAATACTTTTTCACTCTACAAGAAAATGACTGATGGAACAGATTTTGAACAAAGATCATGTTCAGATCCTCCAACATGTTCACATAGAAGCATTCTTGTTCAAGAAACACATCGTCATTTAGAAATTATTGATAGTGTATGGTGCGCTGATCAAATATACTTTTGTCATCTAATAAATCAAGAGATTTTCATCAACAGTCATACTGGCAAAGTACTTCGATTCATTTTAACTGATGTTAATGTGAGAAGAAGTGACAGAATTATAGGTATTTCATCAGATTGATATGCAAATTTTTATACACCAATTGGTTAAACTGGTGTATTACTTTTAAAAGAATTACCAGATAAAACTGGTTTCGAAAAAAAAAGCATGTACAAATTATACAGTTTACTCAGGATGTTACTATTATGTTAAAGAACAAGAAGGTTATTTACAATTCGATGCTCATCCAAGATGATCAAACAAAGCAAAAAAAAATTAAAATATTAAAATAAATATTTGATTATTTTTATTGTTTGAGATTTGCTTTGCTTTCAAAAGATAAAAACATAATTGTCTTGTTTTCTATACCTCATTATGATTAGTATATTTAGATATGTATATGTATCTCTTTTTTCTCTCCATATTTCTTATATTGATTCTAAACATATATTATTCATGATGAAGCTGTAAAAACTACTATACATTTACCTGCTGTATTTTCTGGCAGTCTTCTACTTTTCTTTGTCTATCTTTCTTAGAAAATATTTGTAAAAAAAAAAGACGCTGATATAATCTATATTTTATTTTTGTATTATTTGTTAACCTTTTAAAAGATTAAGTAATTGTAACGAAAAAATGATGATAGAACGAATATTAGTGTGAGAGATGATGATACACTTTAGTTTATCCCTTCATATCATTTAATCGTCACAAGACGATTGATGATAGAGGTAATGTGAGTGTTGATGAAATTACATTTTATTTTATTTTGTTTCTACATATTATACCATCGTATCGTCTACATATAAGATACACATTTATATACACAAACAGAATAAAAGATGATGAGACCAAGGAGAGTACAGATATATATAAACAATAGAGCAAGAACACATAGGTGAGAACAATTCATAAAAGATATGTGTGAATAGTGATATAGAATGAGAAGCGCATTGCGACAGAAAAAGAACAAGGTTCAATCATGCATAGATAAACGTATGTGTAACGCGATTATAAATACTACATATCATTGATTGTACAAGAACACACTGAGAAAGAAAATATATCACATGAGATTATATGGGCATTAGCATAGTGGTTTTTGGTTATTTATTCCGTCGACTGTAAGACGGATCATATGAAATAAAATGAAGCTGTGTGTGTATATGTATGTGTCAGGATTAAAGATTAACATTTAAAAAAAATGTTCTTCAGAAGTCTCAACAATGGTAGACATTTTTGAATATATAGTTTTTCTTCAATCAACGATTTTCAATATCGAGTTTTCGACCAATCAGATTATTTGACCTTGAAAATTCAGTCAATTAGGGGTTTTCGATACTCGGCTTTTGACTAATTAGATTGTATCTATTTGAAACTTCACCTATTGTAATGTTTTCTGAAACCTAGCTTTCGTCCAATCGTACTGTGAGAATCTGGGCTTTTCTCGTCGATCAATATTTAGTGATTGAATTCCTTGTTCAATCAGATTTTGAGAAGCTCACGCATTTCAATAAACATTTTTTCATCGACTGAACGGAGGGTCATATGAACAAAAAAAATAGCTTGTTTGCTTGTTGTTGAGCCAACGATCAAATAATAAAATACTTAATAATATGACGCAGTTGAATATGTCTGTTATGTATTTTTCTTGACATATTTTCATTAGAAGATTCATCTTTGGTCATATTATTAGACATAGAAACAAATAAGAACGTTTTTCTAACTACTGTACTGTACGAGAAATAATTCCACGGCACTATTTTTGAAAACACATAGCTCTATAAGCCGTCAAGGCAAATTGTGGTTTTTATTCTAAGAATAATTAAAAATCTAAGTTAACTATGCTATTACAGATTCGGATAATAGTATTGTAATACGTATACTTGAGTATATGTGATGTTAACATCAGTTATTTCAGAAAAATAAAATAAAATAATATGTAAATAAATTGAACTGTTCTGTCGAGGACTCAGCGAGTTGAAGCGACGAGCATTACTTGTTGAGTAAATTGTTGTAAATTTGTTCAGCTAGATCAAATTGGCCTACTTTAAGCATTAGTTGGGCAATTCGATTCCATCCGGTTCCGTCGATATGCTCTCGTAGGGCTTCAGTAAGAGCAGCCATTTCTGAATCATTGGCTGCTGTGAGAGTCAATTGAACTTCCCATAGGCGATTGTTGCCGGCCATCTGTTTAATTTCATCAACACGAAAAACCGTATGCGTTGAGAAGAGGATTTCGCGTTGTTGCGGATTAGCACTGTGTTTGTCAATGAGGGCGAATGGAACAGTTGGAATAGATACTTTACTTGGATCAATTGTCATGATAAAGATAACACCCACATGATCTTCATGTTCATGCAATGCATGTTGAACGTATTCCATAGCTACTTCTTTTTGTGTACTAGTCACCAAGAAGTTATTGAATGAGAGAATCCCACCTTTCTTAGTGAGTAATTCTTGAAAGTTAGTTTGGGAATATTCCTGACCACGGAATACGATAAATGGTTTCATAGGTGTACTTGATTGTTCGTTATACAGTTGTTCTAATTGTCGATGTAAACTGCGAATAAAAAAGCCCATTTTTGTCATGATCTCCATGTTCAAGCACTGTAATGCCTGATCGAGCATGCTGCGAATGGAAACTGAAGAAGTATAACACCAGATTGGTGACTTCTGATGGTATTCACGTTGAAAGTTCTTTAATTCTGTTTCAGAAATGCCTTGGCTACGGCAGTAAGAAACCAGATCATTTAAGGGTTTTGTATCGTCTTCATTAATTTCTAACATGAATTCTTTGAATAGTTGTGAATACATATAGGATGGATCTAATTTGTCAGCATTTTGTGAATCAATTTCTGTTGTTGCTGCCATTATCCGTTTATCTAATTTTAATAAAATTTTTACTGTGTGACAGAAAATCAATGATAGTGAAAAATAAATTAACTAAGTTGTCGAATTGTGTATTTTTTCTTTGCGTTGACACTCAATAACAAGCGAAAAAGAAAAACTTTCAATAACTTTCCTCTATAGAATGATTTGCATGTTCTTGAGTTGAATGTCTTGTTTCATGGATTATGTATTTTGATTAGCTTCTTTCACAACGAAATTTCTTTCTCTTTCTACGAAGAACAAAACAAAAGCAACAAACACATCGTCTGTTCGATTTTTTTTCAAAATGATTCTAATGAACATTCTGGAGTATGGATGAAAATAAGCAGATTTCTACATCTACACCTGAAGCTGTCTAATTAACTTAGGACATCGGTCAGAATAGTGGTAGACGAGCGATTTAAATTTCAAGCACAACCTTCTATTTCTTACCCTGAAATTCCTTTTGACTCATATTTGGTGCATATACATATCTCTGTCAGTTTTTCTTGCATAGGAATGAATTTTTTTTCAAAAATATTGCATTGAATTCTCTACAAAATTCAACAGAAGACGTCTCCACAGATACTATGATAATCTACCAATAATAACGTTCAAAGAGTTTTCATTGAGACTGGCTTTGCGTCTATTGTTTGTCTTACTATTCTTTATATTAACTATTAAAAGTAGCACTGTTTAAAAATACGTTTACACTGACATAGTCTCATTTAATGACAGATAAGATTAAAAAAAAACAGAAATATTTTCGAAATATCTTGAAAACTAACACTTGTTCAACTCTATGGGTGTTTTAATTGAAGATTCTTAATGTACATTCATATAGTACAATTTTCAAAGCTCAAGAAACATGATCGCTTAGTGTGTTCCTATGGTTTTATACTACAAAGATTTAAACAGATGTGAAACAATAACCTAGAAAATTGTTTATGCAAAAGTATCATTATTTTCTATAGGGCTCTAAGTGCACTACAAGATAATAGGAGCTGAAAACTATGCAGTAAATTTTCAAAACTAGATATATTACAGCTGTATTGCTCTTCTTCTAGATATGCTTGTTTATTCTCTTTTTCTGAATAGTCTCTTATAATTCTTTCGACGAGTTCATCTCTTTTCGAGCGGTAACGAGCAAGGCCTGTTGAAAGAGAATATAATTTCAAAAGACATACCTTTATTTACGGTATTCGTTTGAAATTTTGTGTTGATGACGACAATAAGACTAATATATCGACGTTGTTTTATGCGAGAGAAAAAAATATGCTTGTTTACATATATGCATCAATAAATTAGTTTGGTTTATGCGCATTCATCCATATACATCAAATTGTTTATCATCATATGTTATCGAAATATATTCTTTTTCCTCCCCATAAAAAATATCATTTCTTTTTGCTTTGCTTGTTTTCTATCATTCGTCTATCGAACAATTTAAAGAATGAAGCAAGAGAAAATAAATCAAAGATTGCAAAAAATGTGTACTATACTATGTTTTCACCATCATGTAAGAGAAGTTAACAGTTAGTTCAAGTTTTTTTTCAAAATAATTCATTTGATTTCTTGAGTTATTTCAACAATACTGTGCAGTGGATATAAATCGATGAGCTCGACTGAATGATAAACTGAGATTTTTGACGACATTTACTCGACAAATATACTTTTTTACTGTAAATTATCAACGTCTTTTAAATGTTTTAGTCGATTATTTTACAACAAAGAATGAAACTGATAGATTAAAAAAATCGAGAGAATATTATCACAAGGACACAAAAGTTTGTGCTTCTATTTCTGCTTTTGGCATAAGATGTTACCTCGTGATAGAGTGTGGATGTTGTTCAAGAGGAGTTTCTTAAGCGTAACAAGTGTAAAATTTTCATATTACATTTAAATAGATTTCAAATATTTGAAATATATCTAAGAAGTTAAAAGCATTCTCAAGATACGTAGTTTCTCACTAAACACTCAAAATTTCGATGAATGAAGAACGATCAATATGTATTCAAGTAGTTGAAAATGAATATTTCATACGACACACTTTTTGAAGATACGAAACAGAAATAAAACGAAACTCACTCATACAATTGCGAGTCATTAAATACAAAATTTTGGTATATGAAAAGAATTTTTCCTTGACAATTTTTTTTTTACAAAATTCTACGAACATTAGACATCAATACAGCTGCCTTTGTATATTACTTTCGTGTATGTAGTATCGATTAACATTGAAATAATGAATAATTAAATTATCTTATTCAGTTAGAAGAACACCAACAATTTTCGGATGCTACCTTACAATCGATCATTTATTCATATGGAAGACAAGTTATTTCTTTCAAGAAACTAGATTAAATTTGACAAAAATTTAGTCAATATAGATCGGTAATCATGCTCTTTTCTACAAATAGAAACAAACAAAATGCAGCTGGATTATTGAAATCTTTATCACACGATACAAGACAAAATCTAATTAGAGTTTATTACAAATGATCATTAATTGTTGAAGTTAAAGGAAATTATAATTTAGTTGAGCATCAATTTCGAATAATCATCGACATGATCAGAAATAAATCTCATTTAAATTCTTCACAACGTAAACTGGCCAATTTCAATCTTGTATTCGAATTTGTTAACACTGAACATGCAAAACTGCTGTCTATTAAACGACTTGATAATTTAGATTTAGCTTCTTATTATTCGTACGTTAAAAGGCTTTTAAAAATGGAAAAGAAACTATAATGCAGAGCAGCTGTAGAATAAAATCGCCAAGAAAAAAAAAATCTCAAGTCATTTCACATGACATACATTGTTGATACTTTTTTCTTTCTAAGGCTGAGTCATATGAAGAAACAAAATAGATGAAGATGTGCATGATGCAATGACCTGTTGCTTTTTCATGTAGTTGCATCTATCAAAGCTACACAATGGTATGTTTTTGGTAAATCGTGAAAAAAAGAGAAAGAACAGCTTCTGGATGGGTTCGAACCATCTGTCTTCCGGTTAACAGCCGGATGCGTTTCCACTTACGCCACAGAAGCATGCTTCATAAAAATGTCATTCATTACTATTGCTCTCTCTTTTTTCTTCATGAACCAATACAGTTTACATCGAAATCATTAATATCATTTACTGAAATCTGATGTTATACTTCTGAATTTCATTACGAATACCACAAGCAAACATAGTTTTAATGAATGATTTTACATTTTCTTCTAGGCTCTTCTTTTTCGACACGCCTAATGAAGCACATTAAAATTCTATGAAATTTATTTTTTTGTTATTTTTTAATGTACAGAGACTTTTCTATGATAATCAACTGGAGAAAATTATCAAAGAAAAAAAGACGCCATATAGTTTCCACTGAAGCCGAGTAGCATATCTTTGCTCATAGGAGATATTATTTTCGTCTATCTTGATGTATATTTTATCAAATCCAAGTTAGCATTCTTCGAATATTTTCTGTGGTAGTATGAGTTATTCATTTTTGGTTGCTTGATAAAAATGACTTCGTTTATAAGACTTTCTAACATACTATCTACAGGCATTTTATCTTTAATGGATGTCAACATCGTCTGTCTAAACTTTTCAATGAATCCATGAACATAAAAGATATTGTATTTTTGTTTTTGATTGTCTTATTCATATTGTCTATGTTTAAACGTATGTGTTTAGTATGTAATAGTTTTCAATTAATGCATAATAATATATGCCTCAATAATATGATTCATTCATATAGTAGATTCCAGTAGTGACAACAATTTATCAGCAAGTTTTTGATCACTTATATGATCGTGAGCGTCTCTGTTTATTTTTTTCAATGGTATTTGTCAAATAATCGTCATCGATGATTTTTATACTAAGAGTCTCCGAAATATCTCAAAAGAAACTTTCTCGTCGTTCTGTTTCAAGTTCTTATATTTCAATAACCATAAGTGTGCTGATTTCAAATATCATATAACTTAACCAAAATACTCAGATAATAAGAAAAATATGAAGTATGCAATGAAGCCCTTATGTTTTTCTCTGTCAGAATCTATAAGAATTTGTATAATAATTTATTATTTTCCTACTGATAAATGGCAATTAGTGCCTCAATTTGGTGCCGTTTCGAGTCATAATGATTTCTGTCATCTTATAAAGTTGAATATTTTTTAATTCAATATTAATATTATTTCATTTTGTGAATATAAAAGTCTATGTACTCTTACTTACAATATCATTTTTACCTTGAAATTCGATAACTGAAAATTTATTATTCTTATAAATACTAACAATTACAACGAATAGCATGTTTTCTATCAATATTTGATGATTTTCGAGAAGAAGAGCTCGTCTTTCACTTTTCAAAAATATGACATGTGGAATCAGCACATTTATGATTATCGAAATGCAAATGTTTGAAATAGAACGACGAGAAACTTCTTTTTTGAGATACCAAGAAGACCCTAAAAATAAAGATCATCAATGTTGATTTTTGAAGAACATAGTGGAAAAAGTGAACAGACATAATCGTGCTCTCGGCAGATTAGAAACGCTCACAGTCGTGAGAATGAGCATAAATTGAGGACTTCTATACCGACATCCACCCTTATGCGAACAAATCTCTTATAATCATGGAATACAGAAAATTTAGAATTTTTATTGAATGCAGGTGAATTTCACGGTTTCTCTCATAGTGTTTTTAAGCAGCAGTTCAAAGAATGAAAGAATAAAAAGCAGATGCTCTCCTCTTGAATGCACAATAGAGAGAAAAAGCAATCGAAGGATTAATGTTCTTTCCAGCACAAATGGTTGTCATGAGTATAACCTGGTGATGCAGGATCGTACAATTGAATACAATTCATTTGAGCTACTCTACCACAATACGACCAAACAAGCTCAATCTTGGATTGTACTGGAAGACACAAAGCATTGTCATTCCATCGGTTATCCGAAGGTTCAGCAGTGGCTGTACACTTCAAATCAGTACGACATACTCGATTGTTCCATAT